CTAGTAAAGGTTTGTGTGACAGTCATTATTGGATTATCGATTGCTAACTGTTGTATGAAATTCCTGGCTTAAGTATTTTTCATGTGTTAGACGCCTCCTACAGACCGTACACCATCTAGACGGGTTAGACATCAGAAGCCCGTGGCAGCAGGGAGGCCAAGAGGTCGCAAGAAAAAGAACGTGGAGGAACAGCCAATTGCCTCTCCACCAGTGAAACGCGGCAGGAAGAGTGCAGCATCTCGTCTAGAATCTCCTCAGGAAGAACCATCCATTGAGATGCCGCCTCCAAATAAAGCTGACTTTGAAACCCAGGTGTCAGAGCCACAGGAGTCAGGTATGTGGCATTTTTTGTCTTCTTAAAAAATAAAAATAATATTGTCTGGCTTGTGCCTGGTATTTACACCTAAAACATTATATCTACATGCACATGGTATTTGTAGTGCTCCATGTTTTATGGTACTTTAACAATCAGTTAATTGATTGTTAAATTTAATGATAACTATGAAAATTTACAATCAAAGTCGCTACTCAATGTAAACCAGTTTAAAATCTCATTATAAATCAAGTCATTCTCATTCACCAGTGCTGGTTTAACAGAAGTGCTGTTTTGATCTGATGGTCACAGGTTGTCCAGTGCGGAGGAAATACTCAGAGAGAAAATCACTGCTGACCTTCCCCATTCAGGAGATTCTGGGTATGGAGTGTGACAACTCTGATAATAACACAGAGGACATCGTCGTGGAAGAGCAAGATCAGCTCCTCTCCAAGAAAGTGCTGCCCGACCGGTCCAAGACTGCACGCAACCGCGCCAACAAGCAGTTGGTTGACTTCATCATCAGACGAAAAGTTAAAAAAAAACACTTACTGGTATGATTTTTACATATATATTAATAAAAATATCTTAGTCGCACACCACATAGTCATCAGAACGTCAAGAAGTCCAGTCTAGTAAAGGTTTGTGTGACAGTCATTATTGGATTATCGATTGCCAACTGTTGTATGAAATTCCTGGCTTAAGTATTTTTCATGTGTTAGAAGCCTCCTACAGACCGTACACCATCTAGACGGGTTAGACATCAGAAGCCCGGAATCACGTGTACGGAGAACAACCAAGAAGGAGAAACCTCGAGCAGCAAACCAAAATGCTCTTCCTGACTTATCAGCTTGTTTACAGAAGTCAACACATCAACTAACGGGTACAAATGGACTGGTGTCTTCAAAGTCACATGAACTTGAGCCGATGGTGCCTGAAAAAATGACCGCCCCCAAATGTCCATCAGAAACATCAAAAAGATCTCAGAAGGGAAGGAAAAAAAAACCAATTCAACCCAATGAGAAAGAAGTAGCTGCTAAAAACGTTTGTTCAGATGGACTGGACAATTCTGAACACAATTCTTGCCCAGAACAACACTTAAGCTCTCAAAAAACAAAAGGGACATGTTATCGGCACTCTAAAAAAACTCCAAACAATCAGACCCCTTCTGATGTTTCTACAGCGCTTCACACATGTACTACATTATCTCCTCTTCATCACAAGAAGAGCTCCACCTGCCACACTAACAGTGATTGTAGTTCCATACCACACACCCCGAAACGGTGCAGACCCCGGTCCAGGCCTCTCTTCAGCTCCACACCGACCTCAGACCTCCAACCATTCTCTCCAAAAAGAGCTAAGAATAGTTGTACACCACATCAAAACATCAAAAAGTCCAGTTTAGTAAAGGTTTGTGTGACAGTCATTATTGGATTATCGATTGCTAACTGTTGTATGAAATTCCTGGCTTAAGTATTTTTCATGTGTTAGACGCCTCCTACAGACCGTACACCATCTAGACGGGTTAGACATCAGAAGCCCGTGGCAGCAGGGAGGCCAAGAGGTCGCAAGAAAAAGAACGTGGAGGAACAGCCAATTGCCTCTCCACCAGTGAAACGCGGCAGGAAGAGTGCAGCATCTCGTCTAGAATCTCCTCAGGAAGAGCCATCCATTGAGATGCCGCCTCCAAATAAAAGCTGACTTAGGTGTCAGAGCCACAGGAGTCAGGTATGTGGCATTTTTTTGTCTTCTTAAAAAATAAAAATAATATTGTAATATTGTCGCCTGGTATTTACACCTAAAACATTATATCTACATGCACATGGTATTTGTAGTGCTCCATGTTTTATGGTACTTTAACAATCAGTTAATTGATTGTTAAATTTAATGATAACTATGAAAATTTACAATCAAAGTCGCTACTCAATGTAAACCAGTTTAAAATCTCATTATAAATCAAGTCATTCTCATTCACCAGTGCTGGTTTAACAGAAGTGCTGTTTTGATCTGATGGTCACAGGTTGTCCAGTGCGGAGGAAATACTCAGAGAGGAAATCACTGCTGACCTTCCCCATTCAGGAGATTCTGGGTATGGAGTGTGAAAACTCTGATAATAACACAGAGGACATCGTCGTGGAAGAGCAAGATCAGCTCCTCTCCAAGAAAGTGCTGCCCGACCGGTCCAAGACTGCACGCAACCGCGCCAACAAGCAGTTGGTTGACTTCATCATCAGACGAAAAGTTAAAAAAAAACACTTACTGGTATGATTTTTACATATATATTAATAAAAATATCTTAGTCGCACACCACATAGTCATCAGAACGTCAAGAAGTCCAGTCTAGTAAAGGTTTGTGTGACAGTCATTATTGGATTATCGATTGCTAACTGTTGTATGAAATTCCTGGCTTAAGTATTTTTCATGTGTTAGACGCCTCCTACAGACCGTACACCATCTAGACGGGTTAGACATCAGAAGCCCGTGGCAGCAGGGAGGCCAAGAGGTCGCAAGAAAAAGAACGTGGAGGAACAGCCAATTGCCTCTCCACCAGTGAAACGCGGCAGGAAGAGTGCAGCATCTCGTCTAGAATCTCCTCAGGAAGAGCCATCCATTGAGATGCCGCCTCCAAATAAAGCTGACTTTGAAACCCAGGTGTCAGAGCCACAGGAGTCAGGTATGTGGCATTTTTTGTCTTCTTAAAAAATAAAAATAATATTGTCTGGCTTGTGCCTGGTATTTACACCTAAAACATTATATCTACATGCACATGGTATTTGTAGTGCTCCATGTTTTATGGTACTTTAACAATCAGTTAATTGATTGTTAAATTTAATGATAACTATGAAAATTTACAATCAAAGTCGCTACTCAATGTAAACCAGTTTAAAATCTCATTATAAATCAAGTCATTCTCATTCACCAGTGCTGGTTTAACAGAAGTGCTGTTTTGATCTGATGGTCACAGGTTGTCCAGTGCGGAGGAAATACTCAGAGAGGAAATCACTGCTGACCTTCCCCATTCAGGAGATTCTGGGTATGGAGTGTGACAACTCTGATAATAACACAGAGGACATCGTCGTGGAAGAGCAAGATCAGCTCCTCTCCAAGAAAGTGCTGCCCGACCGGTCCAAGACTGCACGCAACCGCGCCAACAAGCAGTTGGTTGACTTCATCATCAGACGAAAAGTAAAAAAAAAACACTTACTGGTATGATTTTTACATATATATTAATAAAAATATCTTAGTCGCACACCACATAGTCATCAGAACGTCAAGAAGTCCAGTCTAGTAAAGGTTTGTGTGACAGTCATTATTGGATTATCGATTGCCAACTGTTGTATGAAATTCCTGGCTTAAGTATTTTTCATGTGTTAGACGCCTCCTACAGACCGTACACCATCTAGACGGGTTAGACATCAGAAGCCCGCGGCAGCAGGGAGGCCAAGAGGTCGCAAGAAAAAGAACGTGGAGGAACAGCCAATTGCCTCTCCACCAGTGAAACGTGGCAGGAAGAGTGCAGCATCTCGTCTAGAATCTCCTCAGGAAGAGCCATCCATTGAGATGCCGCCTCCAAATAAAGCTGACTTTGAAACCCAGGTGTCAGAGCCACAGGAGTCAGGTATGTGGCATTTTTTTCTCTTCTTAAAAATAAAAATAATATTGTCTGGCTTGTGCCTGGTATTTATACCTAATACATTATATCACTTTTTTTTTTATTATATAAATGTGTCAAAGAAAAAAGGAGTTTTTAAGCATCAAAACACATTTTTTCTGCATGTTAGAATGTTTTTTTTATTTTGTATTTTTATTTTAAATTATGTAAGATTTAAGACACTTTATTGTCATTGTATGCAATAAGTAAAAAAAAAAATTCACAAATAAAAAATATAAAAAGTATAATGCATATTATAGGTGGTTAATTTATTAATGTATAAAATGGTAATAATAATTAAAGTACCTGTGAGCTTATTCATTTATTAACTAATAAATTAATGTTAAATGAAACCAATTATGTTCATATTAAATTTGAATGTTACAGTTTAAAAACAATTTAAAGGAAGCTACCAATACTTACATTTTTAGATTAAGTAGTACTTAAAAAATTGACTACATGCACATGGTATTTGTAGTACTCCACGTTTTATGGTACTTTAACAATCAGTTAATTGATTGTTAATTTTAATGATAACTGACTACGAAAATTTACAATCAATCAAAGTCGCTACGCAATGTAAACCAGTTTAAAATCTCATTATAAATCAAGTCATTCTCATTCACCAGTGCTGGTTTAACAGAAGTGCTGTTTTGATCTGATGGTCACAGGTTGTCCAGTGCGGAGGAAATACTCAGAGAGGAAATCACTGCTGACCTTCCCCATTCAGGAGATTCTGGGTATGGAGTGTGAAAACTCTGATAATAACACAGAGGACATCGTCGTGGAAGAGCAAGATCAGCTCCTCTCCAAGAAAGTGCTGCCCGACCGGTCCAAGGCTGCACGCAACCGCGCCAACAAGCAGTTGGTTGACTTCATCATCAGACGAAAAGTAAAAAAAAAACACTTACTGGTATGATTTTTACATATACAGTATATTAATAAAAATATCTTAGTCGCACACCACATAGTCATCAGAACGTCAAGAAGTCCAGTCTAGTAAAGGTTTGTGTGACAGTCATTATTGCATTATCGATTGCTAACTGTTGTATGAAATTCCTGGCTTAAGTATTTTTCATGTGTTAGACGCCTCCTACAGACCGTACACCATCTAGACGGGTTAGACATCAGAAGCCCGTGGCAGCAGGGAGGCCAAGAGGTCGCAAGAAAAAGAACGTGGAGGAACAGCCAATTGCCTCTCCACCAGTGAAACGCGGCAGGAAGAGTGTAGCATCTCGTCTAGAATCTCCTCAGGAAGAACCATCCATTGAGATGCCGCCTCCAAATAAAGCTGACTTTGAAACCCAGGTGTCAGAGCCACAGGAGTCAGGTATGTGGCATTTTTTCTCTTCTTAAAAATAAAAATAATATTGTCTGGCTATTATTACACCTAATACATTATATCACTTTTTTAAAATTATATAAATGTGTCAAAGAGTAAAAGGAGTTTTCAAGCATCAAAACATTATAAGTTAAATACCACTTTAATATTTTCTGTATGTTAGAATTTGTGGTTTATTTTTTTCTGAGCAATTTTTATTTTAGTATTTTTATTTTTTTAAACCATGATTTATAGAAGACACCCAGTAAAATGTAATTCAGTGTAACAATAGTTTATTTAGAACCAGAATCATTAGATGACATTAAAATACCTCATTTAAGGACCACAGTGCAGCCCCAAAAACTAATTAATTGTAATTTTAAACATTTACCAATCTTTGCCACTATCCTTCAAACCACTAGTTTTTACACGGTTGTCAGCAAGAAGTTTTTAATAATTTCAAATACAACAAATTTGCATCTCTTTTTCTTTTATATATTTTAAAATGTTCAGGTCAGAATAAGTATGTTGTGTGGTTTTTACAAAAATGTATTTATGCTAAATGATGGTGGAACATTATTTCACCCATATTTTCACATTTTGTTTTAACAAAAGTTATTTGAAACTAATATTAAAGTAGACATTTTACTTGCATTTAATAAGCTTTCTATGTATATAAAATCACTTTTATGAATTTAATTTGATGCAGACACCATTTTGTCTTTGACCCAAATATTTAATTAAATATTTAATATTATTTTTATTAAAATATTTATTTAAATATTCAATAATTAATCATGATTATTCAATTAAAGTATTTATATATATATATATATATAAATTTTAAAATTCAATTAAACAAAAGTAATAAATAATATTGTAAATTTATATGCTGTTACAACTTCAACACAGTAGTTGTTTTTGCGCCTTTATCATAAATATGCAAATCTGACCTATGCATAGATAACATTTGTAAGTTAGTGTTAATAATTGTAAATGGAGCCTCAGATATATGATGTTATTGTCTTTTGAAATCAGTCAGTGTAATGTTATGTACCTATCAGATCAAAACATGTCCTCTGACCTCTCCATCGAGCTGAGCCTGCAGGAGGAACCTCATCCTCTTAACAACTCCCTCTTCATGGAGGAGGAAGAGGAGGAAGAGGACCTAGACGAGGAGGAGGAGGAGCTGCCCAGCTTTTTGCAACAGGACAATAAAAGTGAGTGAACAATAAAAGGAAGAAAAAGTGTGTACTGTATATGTATCCAATGTGTACATATTTTGGCTAGAGCTTTGACATATTTGGTTTCCAGGGCCTTTGTCAATCTCAGAGGGATTTATCGTGTGGTGCAAACTGAGGAAGTATCCCTACTGGCCTGCAGTGGTAAGTTAAGCTCTCGGTGCTAACTATGGATGCTGTGTAGGGGTGGGAATCTTTAGGCACTTCACGATTCGATCCGATTCCGGGAGTCACGATCCGATTCCAAAACGATTCTTGATCTACATTTTTTCCTAATTAATTAATTCTGCTGTGCAAATACATTTTTACAAGTTTCTATGCTTTTTGTTTATAGTTGGAATCTCTGTATGTCAGGTTTCACGATTCAATTCAATTACGATTATCATTATCAACTTAATATCACGATGTGTCACATTCTCAGTTTTCAATATTACTGCACATGGCTACATTTTCATATACATTTTATATCAAATTTAATTTGCGCAAAATTAACATTATTTTTTATTATATAAGCAGACTACTTTTTAAAACAATTGCTTATTTAAAATAAGTGTTCTTTAAGTATTTGAAAGTTTACAGAAAATAGGCTAGTTATGAGGCTTTCTTTTTTCCTCAGCATTATTGCCATTTGATTATTATTGATGAGATCAAAGACAGTGGCAGTTTTAACAGGCTGCATTTACACTAATGCACAGATCTATTTCGATATATCAGATGTTCTGTCCTGCTCTGAAAACATAACTGACAGTATTTACATCAATTTCATATAAAAGTATTCGGAGATACAAGGGCATTTAACCGCAGCCGATATCGAGCTTCAGGACATCAAACACAAAGCGCACGTGAAAGTCTGTAAGTGCGCGAGTTGTGTGCATCTAATAGTACTGCATTCCAAACGGCATAAATTAATGCATATCTAAAGTAAAACACGGCGGGTGGAAGCACACACTGTCAAGCAATGCTCACACGTGCCATTTGCGGGGAAAAAAAATCCAAGCTCAGAATCGTTGAAGAGAGAATCGCGATGCATCGGAGAATCGATTTTTTTTTCTCCCACCCCTAATTTTGTGCAGTTTGTAACTCTTGATTTTAGACTGTAGTTGATGACAAGTTGCTCATCTGTTCCACAGGTTAAAAGTGTGAATCGCAAGAACAAAAAAGCCAGCATTGTATTTATTGATTGTTACCTAATTGACCAAAAGAGAATTAGAAAAGGGTAAGAATTCATCAGTCTTAATATCACTTGTTTTTAGTGTGTGTATATGTGCGTGTATTGTTTTTATACAGTCTATGGTGTATATAGAATATATATATATATATATGTGTGTGCATATAGTACACCACATAGTAAATTTGATCGGTCTTAACATCTTCACTCTTTTTTTTTTTTTTTATCCATAGGTTTTCTGTGTCTCTGCGAACCCTAAAACCTTTTGATTGTGAAGAATATGAAAAATTGGTGGTAAAGTCTCTTCGACTTGCTTTTGATTTCACTTTTTCTGATTGCGTACTTACTATTTTCATATTCCTGCCATTAGTAAACATTTGCTATACTGAATATACTTCAAGACATTTTTTAAAAGAAAAATATGTATTTATTTTATATAGGACATTGCAGAAGAGAAGTATGGCAATGCTATTACCTGGTCTCTGGAACTGATATCGGACTATAGGATCCGCATTGGTATTGATCTCTGTTCGATTGTTTGTTTGTTTGTTTGTTTTTAGAACTTGAAAGTACATTTAAACATTTTAATAAAGTAAAACTAGTGTTTAGAAGAGTCACCTTTTTAAACAGCAATCTATTTACAAAAAATGTTGTCTGAAAAGCTGAAATTCAAATATTGAATTCAGATGTTTTCTGGCAGGATGTGGATCCTTCTCTGGCTCCTTCATCGAATACTGTGCTGCTGACATCAGTAGGTTTCCTTTCATTATAGATTTTCATACTCATCCAACATGTCTTTAATAGCTGTGTTGTTTTGGGTGATAATTAATTAGTTGTTAAACTGTCAGTTTTAAGACTATTGTCATTGTATGCTATAAGTAAAAAAAATAAAAAATTTGCACAAATATATTTTTTTTAAATGTATAGTGCATATTACAGGTGGTTAATTTGTTAATAAATAAAATAGTAATGATTCATTTAAGTACCTGTGAGTTTATTCATTTATTAATAGTAATAAAATAATGTTAAATGAAACAAATTATGTTCGTATTAAATATGAATGTTAGTTTAAAAAACAATTTAAAAGGAAGCTACCAATACTTACATTTTTAGATTAAGTAGTACTTAAAAAAAAATAGATTACATGCAGTAGTACTCCATGTTTTATGGTACTTTGAGTAGCGACTTTGATTGTCAATTTTAATGATAACTATGAAAATTTACAATCAATTAACTGATAGTTAATTTTAATGATAACTATGAAAATTTACAATCAAAGTCGCCACGCAATGTAAACCAGTTTAAAATCTCATTATAAATCAAATCATTCTCCTTCACCAGTGCTGGTTTAACAGAAGTGCTGTTTTGATCTGATGGTCACAGGTTGTCCAGTGCGGAGGAAATACTCAGAGAGGAAATCACTGCTGACCTTCCCCATTCAGGAGATTCTGGGTATGGAGTGTGAAAACTCTGATAATAACACAGAGGACATCGTCGTGGAAGAGCAAGATCAGCTCCTCTCCAAGAAAGTGCTGCCCGACCGGTCCAAGACTGCACGCAACCGTGCCAACAAGCAGTTGGTTGACTTCATCATCAGACGAAAAGTCGAAAGCCGCTTATTGGTATGATTTCTACTGATATATTTATAATTCTAGTATTTTTTTTAATTTGAGAAATTTTCATTTCCATTGTGACAGATAAATGTATGCACTCTGAAATGCACAACTTATAGGGATGGGCGAAATCTTATCGTTTGCAATATAACGTTAAAAATTCTCCCCACGATAAGAATTAATAAGAACGATAAAACCTAGTTGTTGACATATTTATGTGTGCAACCGTGCGAAATGACATGGACGTGAAACTGAGGAATTTGTCGCTAAATGAGGAGTTGCTTCTACAATCTAGAACTGGTTTGGTAAGGGCTGTACAGTGCGACAAAAAAACAGCCTGTCCAATGAATAAATGTACTACAGTAGCACATGTGCGATACAGTTTTGCATGTATATGAGCCTGTTTACAAACCTGTTGCGATAATGTATATGTAGATAATATTCTCTCTGAAGAAACGGGAGGGGGTTTTTTTGTCTCACAGTGGATGCATATGAATTATTGTCATTGATATCGTTATCGCAATAAATACCGGAAAATATCGTTATCTAGTTTTAAGTCCATATCGCCCATCCCTAACAACTAACCCTTCTGTCTGGTGCTCACAGGCAGTCATCAGCGGCCGTGAGTCCTCTAAATGGATGCAAGCCCTCCAGAAGCCTTCTCGCCCAGTGGTTGATGTCTACCTGGAAGATGAGGAGCAGGTTGATAAGGTGTACCGCTACCTGAACAAAGTCTGTGATAGCGCCCCTCAAATAAACACCTGCCTAGAAAACATCCAAGCTGACCGGATCCGCCTTATTCTTGATGTGCTTCTGCCTGAGGTAATCGCCTTCATTAACACTTCCTTTTGGGGTTAGTAAGGTTTTTTTTAATGTTTTTGAAATAAGTCTCTTATGCTCACCAAGGTTGCATTTATTTAATCAAAGGTAATATTGTGAAATAATATTACCAAATAAAATAACTTTTCTGTATTTTAAAATGTAATTTATTCCTGTGATGCAAAGCTGAATTTTCAGCAGCCATTACGCCAATCTTCACTGTCACATGATCGATCAAAAAACATTCTAATATGCTAATTCAGTACTCCATAAACTTCAGTTATCACTGTTGAAAACAGTTGTGCTGCTTAATGTTTTTATAGAGAACAATGATACAGAATTTTTTCCCCCATGATTCTTTGATAAATAGAAAGTTCAAAAGAACTTTACTGTCACTTCTGATCAATTTAATGCATCCTTGCTAAATAAAAGTATAAATTTTTTTTATATCTTACCGACTCCAAAATTTTGAACGGTAGTGTCTAATACTTCGAACCAACCACATTCTAGCATCATGCATTGCCATGCTTCAGTGACAGTTTTGCTTTTTAGGCCATTATCTATGCAATTGCTGGAGTCCACAAGCTTTCCCTGGAGAATGCAGAGGAGAAGTATCGCAGAGGGCCGTGCTTTAGTAACAGGTAGAGTACTTGTGAACTCACTTGCCTAGAAAAAATGAAAAATGAATCTATCTGTGTAACTTGCAGTTGTTTTTATTTCATTGTGTTTTAGAGAAAGACAGGAATTTGACATGATGATTGAACAGCAGATGAAGCTCAAGGAAATCACCTGGCATCATAGGCAGTGACGGCCCCTCTATTTTAAACATACATTAACTTTTATGAATAGGAATATTTTCTTTCTAATCATAGTATAAAAGAAAATTAGTTAAATGATGGTTGAATTGAATGATTTTTCATGGCAAAAAAAAAAAGCTTTGTAAATAACTTAACCTGATGTTAAATGTTTATCAAATCTCAGACTTTGAGCTGGATGGTATATCTCTGACATCTTGATGCTTGAAGTCAGCAAAATCTGGTGCTTTTAATGTGTGCAGTGTACAATAAGTAAATGCCTTGTGCTAATACATAAATACAACATTTTAATAATAATAATGTGGTATTCCTCCGAGTAACACACATGTGGTTGCTACTTGTTTTGAACATGCTTAAGTGTGTGTTTAGGTGTTTGTAACTAATTGAACACTGTTAAGCTGCATTACAATCAACATAACTGATGTCTCCAAAATGTGCTGCCTTTTTAGCCACCTGACCATTCACTATAACTTTTCCTTGCATAGAGGCTTTTTCTACACCGATGTACGAAAAGATGCCAAAGTTGTTGCATTTTAATGCAACTGAATTCTGGACTAATGTACATTAAAAAAAAAATATTCAGGACTTTGCAATTGATGTTTATCAATAAATCTTTATTTTTCAACACATTATATACTCTGTGTTTTTGTAAACATTTACATAATTTGAAAAGAGTTTCTTTGTATTTAAAGTGTTGTCAATAGTTTTTTTTTTTTAAACACTTTGTACATTATGCACCAGCTTCAAAAAATTGTGGCTGCTCAGTTTCATCATTTCTCATTCTTCATAATCTTTCTTTCCAGTTGGTCTGTTAACTATAAATGTAATATACAAGATCAGAATTAATTTTAGATACTATAAAACTTTTCACCGAATGGAATGAAATCCAAAATAAGTCTATCATGAAACTTTGAGGTATATGAAGAAGGTGTCTACAGTATTTGTAGAATGGCCACATACTGATATGGCACTTTAGAGGAATCTGACTCTCGAAAACTGTGACCGAATATGACCCACATACTGAGAGTGGAAAGACAAGCCTGTCTAATGTTCTTTGAGAGCATTGATCTGCGCACAGATTTTGAGTGCAGGGCCCAGTCTAATGTTCATAGCGCTCATGAGATGGTCCTCCGTAAGCAGCAACAGGGCCTGTCCGTCAATCTCCTGTGAGCAGAACTCTGCAGCAATATCATGGCACCCTTAGAGCAAGTGGAGTAGATTAGCATATGATTCTAAAGATCATACAGAAATCTATGACATTATGTTATCAATTTGGCAGAATCCATCCATCCTATCTTATCTATCTGTATTGGCTGTATTTGATACAATAAAAAAACATAATTTTTAAATTTTAATATATTTTAAAATGTAATTTATGATGAAAAGCTGTATTTTCAGCAGACATTACTCGTTTTCAGTGTCACATGATCCTTCAGAAATCCTTATAATATGCTGATTTGCTGCTCAAGAAACTTATCAATGTTGAAAACAGTTGTGCTGCTTCATATTTTGTTTTGTTAGGATTTGATAAATAGAAAAAGAACAGAATTATTTTTCTAACATTGTAACAAAGTCTCATTTTTTAACAATTTAATGCCGTCTTGCTGAATACTAGTATTCATTTTATATTAATTAATATTAATGTGTTCCTGTGGCTCAGTGGTAAAACGGCGCAAAAGGTCATGGGTTAAATTCCCAGGAAACACACATACTGGTAAAAAATGTATAGCCTGAATATACTGTAAGTTGCTTTGGATAAAAGCATCTGCATAAATTAAATTAATTTCTAATGCTAGTTTTAAAAATATCTAATATCTAACTAGTATTAATTAGTATAAAAAATCTTACTGACTCCAATATCAACTTTATATACTAACTACCATACTAACCAGGCTATACAGGCTATACTAAAAAGTTAAAGCTTGAATGGAAAACAGCTTTCACACTTCACTCTTCATTCAAATGTTTTAGTGACCCACTCAGCAGAAGGTGAACTGAGCTTCTGAAAGCTGTCCAGCTACCTGGTAAAGAGCTGATGAAGGAGCACACTTGCTCCACGCTCCACTGTGAGGGACTTGAGTCAAGAAGACAGTCAGAGCTGCTGCTGCTCTCCACTCTGCTCTGTTCCCTTTCTCTGTCTTGCTCCTTCTCTCTTTCGGCCTGCAAACGCAGCCTTGTTGTCATCGGGCCTGGTGGATCCTCCTCCTCTTCTCTCTCAATCCAAATTGAATTCGAGACTCTCGGGTTGTTGCTGGTACGATGGGAGTCTTGCAGCTGCTGAGGAAATAATGTGTTACAGTAGGTCACTCCCACTTATTAATAATGCTATTGCACTGGATTGTATAGTTTGGTTAAATGGTTATTTGTTAGTTTTCACTGACCTGCCTGAGGAAGTGCTCCCTGGACCTGCCGTTTATGTGACTAGGTGGTCTCCCCCGCTTGCCCATGGGCCTGTGTGGCCAACGGCCAACTTTTTCTGAGCTAAACAGGTTCAGGCGCTTTTTACAGCTTACATTGAATCTGTGAGGAGTGAGAGATGAACAAGGCTGTGTGTGCTGCAGTGTACAATTTTATGAACACAAACTTGTTGAATTCAGTAAAAAAGTATGTTTATGTCAGATTGGACTGGCAAAAAGGCATACATCTTAAATGTGTTTTCATCGTTATACGCATACATTCTTACAGACATGAACACGTACACTACTGTTCAAAAGTTTGGGGTCAGTAAGAATTTTTTTAAACAAATGAATACTTTTATTCAGCAAGTATGCATTTAATTGGTCATTGTTACAAAAATAATTTCAAATAAATGCTGTTCTTTTGAACTTTCTATTTATCAAAGTATGGTTTTCACAAAAATATTAAGCAGCACAACTGTTTTCGACATCTTGAGCACCAAATCAGCATATTAGAATGACTTTGAAGGATCATGTGACACTGATGACTGGAGTAATGACTGCTGAAAATTCAGCTTTGCCATCAAAGGAATAAACTATATTTTAAAATATAGAAACTTTTCAAAAACAATCAAAAATCTTACTTTTGTTTCCGTATCACAAAATACACATAAAATATGAAAATGGCAACCAGACTGATCTTACTTCCCTCTTTTATTGTAAGTCTAAGCAATATTTAAAAAATATTTTATGTAATAGCACACTTCTCCTCAACAACCATTCATGTCTTTGACACAAATGGTACAGAATGAGTTACACGCCAAAGTTCAATACTAAGGTTTAGAGCTTTAGAGCAATCCTTGAACCTAAAGTACAAGCAATAATAATCCCAAAAGTAATAATAATAATTCCACTGATACTAAAAACTACAAAAAGTGTCATTAATGCTACCCATAGGGCTCTTTACCTTCTGACGCATGTCATGGAGCAGAAGCGTTTGGACCTGAGGAAGGTACGAGCAAAGCCTCTCTTCCCACAGAACTCGCATTTGAGTACGACAGGCAGGTTTTCAACTGTCTGTTCTGAAAGAAGAAGAGATTCTGCAAGAAATGCTCATATTGACATGAATGCGTAAATAATAAATGTGCTAATGAGCCCACCATCCTCAGCAGGTGGGTTATCAATGTCGGAATCGGTGGAGTTCTCTGGTTGGTCCGCATCCATCAGGCAGTCATCCTGTGCTGATTCTCCGTTCTCTCTATCTTCTGGCAGTGTGGCCTGCAGGTTCATCTCTAAGGAAGCATGTCTCACCTGATGAAAAAGACCAGCACATCAATATTGGATCTACTCAGTTTTTTAGATGCTTTTTGTGGTTTCGACTTCAAAAAGTATGGAGCACTTTATGAGGGGACCCAAAGGGGACTTCAATTACTGGTTGATCTGAATGTTTGGTGGCAGACCCAATGTATTGGTGGCAGCCCCTCACCGTGCCGTCTTACTCTCTGCTCTCAGGGAGTGAGGGATCTTTGAGCTTCACGGCAACACTAGAGAACCATGGACTTCATTAGGGCCTCATGGCAGCTGCGAATTGCTACGCTGTCAACCAGTGGACATCAAGGGGCAGTCGTGGCCTAATGGTTAGAGAGTCGGACTTGTAAGCCAAAGGTCGCTGTCGAGTCTCGGTACTGGCAGGGATTGTAGGTGGGGGGAATGAATGACCAGCACTCTCTTCCACCCTCAATACCACGACTGAGCTGAGACCCTTGAGCAAGGCACCAAACCTCCAAATGGCCGCCCACTGTGTGTGTTCACGACTCACTGCTGTGTGTGTGCATTTGGATGGGTTAAATGCAGAGCACAAATTCTGAGTATGGGACACCATACTTGGCTACATGTCACGTCACATTCACTTTCACTTTCATACCGGGAACGGCTCCAGGGCCTCTCGGATGACGAAGCCCTCAATGAGGTGTGTGAGGATGTGAGGTCTAACGATGGCCTGTGAGGGCCGACCCTCAGGATTCCCTGGAAGGCTGGCTGGGGGAAGCCTGCTGGTGCTTCTTACCGCAGAGGAGAGGAGGGGAGGGGGGGAACTGTTGGCATATGTGGGGTCCTCTGGTGACCGCATAACAGATCTGCTCGATGGTAAGCTTGGTTGGTCCAGATCAGCTATGGTTAGAGTAGAGGTCAGGTCAGAGTTCTGCAGAAACTGAAGACCACTTTACCAGTCTTTAATATATATATATATATAAGGTACCTGTACAGTTTTCTGGTTGTGTTGTTGCATCATCAGAGCTTCCCTGGGGCTCATCTGGTGGGGACAGTGGTGGCGGGGTGGGAGTTCTGTTCTGAGGACATGCATGTTCTACATCCTTCACCAAATCCATGCTTCCACTCTCCTTCAACAGTGGTGTTGCCTGCCAAATTTCATAAGCAGCATAATGATACATTTAAATGAATACAAATAATACATTTAAATGAATAGTTCACACAAAATATATTCTGTCACCATTTACTTATCCTCAGTGTTTTTCCAAACCTGTATGATTTTCTTTCTTCCATGGAACACAATAGAATACAATGTTAAATGATAGCGTCATTGATTGCGAAGACGGGGTGAAAATTGTGGATCATGATGATAATTAAATAAAGAATACAAAAAGAAAAAATTACTAAATGTTTTTTTTTTTATGTTTTAATGTTTAAACTGATATAAAATGTTTGAATGACATTTTCATCAACTAAAATCAGATGGCATTTTAATCAGAGTAAAATGTACTAAAATTAATGAAAATGACATGGAAAAAATATTGACTAAAAGGATAATTTCATCCAGTTTTTCAAGTCAAAAACTATGACTAAAAAAACGAATGAATAAAATGAATATGACATGACGAAATATTGATTATTTTTAAAGGACATTTTTTATTAAATGACAAAAACTATTTCAACTATTTACTGTGTAAAAATGATTACTGGTTCTGAAGAATAATAAGTTGCTCTTTTCCATTCAACTATTCACAACCATTCAAAGGTTTGGGTTGGTAAGATTTTTAAATGTTTTTGAAAGAAGTTTCTTCTGCTCACCAAGGCATTTATTTAATTAAAATACCATAAAAATTTTAATATTTTAAAATATTATTACAGTTTAAAGACCCTGGCCTATCCTAATGTATTTAAAATGTAATTTATTCCTGTGTTGGCAAAGATGAATTTTTATCATCATTACTCCAGTATTCAGTGTCACATGATCCTCAGAAATTATTCTAATTTACTGATTTGGTGCTCAAGAAATATTATCATCAATTCAGAAAACAAGATTTTCAAGATTTTTTGATGAACAGAAATTTCAAAAGAAAAACATTTATTTCAAACATAAGTCTTTTGTAACAATGTAAATGTCTTTATTGTCACTTGTGGTCCAAGAATTTTGATCAATTTAATGCTATATAAAAGTATTAATTTCTTTAAAGAACAAAATCTTACTGATCCTAAATTTATTTTTGAACAGTAGTGTAGTTTCAAAGAAAAGCCCAAAAAGCACCATAAACATCATATATATAATCCATGCATGTAATATGGCATATTCTGAGACTTCTGTAACCATATGATAGCTTTGTGTGAGGAACAGACTGAAATTCATTGGTCACTTAAAAAACTGATTTCATTCATGCTTTCCCACATTCAAGCCACAAGACACATTCAATTTTTCTTTTATGGAAAAAAGAGCAGCCTGGACACTCCTTACATAAAAATATAATTTTCTCTTCCACTGTAAAAAGAAAATGTTTCAGACAAAATGATTGTGAGTAAATGATGACAGAAGTTTCATTTTAGCTGCATTATGAATTGAACTGTTTTGAATAAGACTAACCGAGGGAGCTTCTGTTTGTGTGGCAGGTTGCACCTTTAGGTCCACTGCCACTGTCTGTGGTGGCGGCAGATTCTGAAAAGGCAACTGAACTACTGCTTCAGCGACTGGGAGCTCCTCTTCAGACACCAGCATGTGGTCAGACTGGACAGCTACGGTCTGGACTGAGCGTAGAGACAGTCTCTGTGGCTGGACCAGCCTGGGCAGAGCCATGGTGAGAGGAGGGGGGCTGGACAGAGGTGAATACTGGGAGACCGGCTCTAGCACTGGGCCCAGATGAAGTGGTGGAGGGTCAGGGAGCACTGCAGGGGGAGCTGTGGATGTAGACACCACTGCTGACTGATTGCTGGGATGATTTGCAGAGGAGGGCACTGAGAGGAACTCTGTGTGCTGTGATTGGACGGTGGCTGTAGTGGGAGTGGTACGGGACTGCAGGGCAAGGGGTGGAGGAGAGCTGTCATGCTGCATGACATGCAGCGCAATGGGCTGGACCTGTCTTTGAGCGGTAGAGCTCTGCTGGATGATGAGCTGGTGTGGCGCCACCCTCTGGCCGGAAGGGCAATGCAGCTGGTGTCTGACCAATGTATGAGACTGAACTGGAGTGAAGGTTGCTGCAGTAGAGACAAACAGAAACAAACAGAAAGATGTATGATAAGAAAATCAGATGAGTTATAGAAGTGAATCTCAATAGTTTTGACCTTTTTATTTTTAGAAACTTAAGCTAGGTGCACACTGTGCGTTTTTTTTAATAGTCCTCTACAATTATTGCTTGTCAGACTGTACGAACATGTCACACTGTGGGATCTCAGTCGTCATTAACGTCAGACTGTACGACAGTCAAGATGAGTTAAAAACACATGCGCACAAGAAAACTTGTCCGGAGTTTTACATTATCAACCCATACGCGTTCAGTGACTGCGAGCTGCACACATGGGGCTGAAATATTGGCTATCCTGAAAAGTCTATGAAAGTTTGACATTTGTCACAGGAGAAGTCACCATCTGGTTGTTGGTAAACATGTCAAACTAATGATCAATGACTACAGATTTTAGGATCGGAGGAATCTTTTAGGATTTGAGAAATGTGTCTCAGATGGCCAAATCGTAGCCAAAATCATACAGTGTGCCTGGTTTAAGATTGGCACTATGTTCACATAATTAAATCCCATAATTCCAGAAGTTTTAAGAATTGATTGTTCTTCATGGTTCACACTCTTTATGGCAAATTAATTTCCATGATTTTTTCCAGCTGTTAATGATGACAGGATAAGGTTTTTTAAACTGTGTTTTACTCACAAATAGCAATTTCTCAACATTTTCTAGCCAACATTAACATAATTAATTTCTTTTTTTATATAATTAGAATATATATATATATAATATAATTTTAAATATTATTTAATACAAACACTTATTTATTTATTCATTAATTCATTCATTTATAATTTTGTATTATTAATTTCCGTGACTTTTCCAGATATAGAAATAATTAATTTTATAAGATGAATAAATAATTTTAAACCATCTTGTGGCCCCCTTGAAAGTGTGTTGGGGCCCCCTAGTTGAACAACATGAAATTATTTTCGTTCTTTTGCAAATGAAATGATTCTGCTCTCTCCAATATTTACTACATTTACATTATTCTGCATTAACAACAGTGAAAGTAATGGAGATGGAAATCTTGATCTTGTGACTTACAAAGAGGAATGAGTGGTTGGGCTGATGCTGGCTGAGTAACATCGGTCAACAGTGACTCACTTCTAGAAGTTTCTGCCAGGTTCTGGGACAGCTGTGTGGACTTCAGTGGGCAAATGGACATCTTGGGCTGGGGGGACACCAGCGTCTGGCCTTGAAGAGAAGGCTTGATCTGGACGTTCTGGGGAGTAGCAAGAAGATGAGTGCGGAGAGCCAGACTTTGAACCTTGCAGAGGACAAAACATACTCAATGAATGTGGAGCATCATTAATCATTTTATTGCAACATACTGGGTAATTCTTTGTGTGTCCATGACTTAGTACTGATTTTATAAACAGGATACATGATGAAGTTTAACTCTGTTTAGTTAAATGTTGTTAAATTATTATTGCAAAAAATAATTCCCCCATGACAGTTTATTTATAAAGTGCTTAATGCTTATTTATTTTTATATAAGAAAATATATAAATGACTGGATTATATTAATTCATTTAAATTGCAACAATTTAAATCAAATAACTCTGAAGTGGGGAAAATATGATTTCATCTTTATTCATTATACATCAGTAACCTTATCAAATAAACAATTAAATTGTATTATCATATATTACATTATTATATATTGCATAATTAAATGCATATTTAAATTTGACACAAATGGCACCATTTCTTGAGAATGTCCCATAAATTGACAAAAAAAAACCTGTCTTACCTGTGATGATGCTGATTGAGAGGACACTGAACTTACAACCGTCAGATCAGGTTGAACAGCAGCTACAGTGGCAGCAGGAGTAAGAATCAGCTACAGGTTAAGAGACAATGACACGACAATAGGAAGAAAGAAGACAAAACAGAATCAGGTCAAGTCAGTGGAGACTTCAGAACACCAATGAACTCTTCTCAAAGAATATGATGCTTTTAGTAAATATCTGCTTACCATCTGAGTGCGCAGATACATTTGGGCCTGGCTACCTGTGGGAGAGCTGTTTCCTAGAAGCATGGCCTGCTGGGATATGGCTCCTGCTGTACTATTAGAGCTAGTGACCTGGATGTGACCTATTGGCTGAGTTACAGGAGAGGTTGGCATGGTGATCTAGAGGGTGAGAGGTGTTTTCCTGTGTAATTCATCTTTGATCAAATCTTAAAAAAAAGAAAAATGAAAATTCGGTCATCATTTATTCAAGTCATTCTAAACCTGTATGAGTTTATTTCTTCTGTTGAGTACAAAAAATATTTCAAGAATATTAATGACCAAACAGTTGACGGTAGTCATTGACTCCCACAATATGGGGACAAAAAATACTGTGGAAGTCAATGGTTTCCATCAACTGTTTGGTGACCAACATTTTCCAAAATATCTTTATTTGAGTTCAACAGAAGAAAGGAACTCACACATGTTTGGAACAGCAAATTGTAAATGATGACAGAATCTTACTATCCCTTTAAATGTTTGGATAAAGCCTGAACCTATTTGCTAATTTACAAAGTACAGATTTATTTTATATTTACATAAAGGCCTTTTCCCAAATCAAATTACGATAGACTTTTTATGGGGCACTTTTTTCCAACATAATGTCCAAATGAGAGCACATAGTCCATCTACATGAAACAAAAGTGGGTTTGTGACAAAAGTGTATAAAGAAGGAAACACTTACTGATGTTTGAGACACACTAGCCAGCCGAGTTACATTCCCATTGGATGATGGAGGGGAGGAGGGGAGCTGCCTGCCATTAGTCTGCGTGGCCTGATAAGAAGTAGCATTTTATTATAATATGTTATTATATTATATTATATTATTATTTAGGGCTGCCAAATGATTAATCACGATTAATCACATCCAAAATAAAAGTTTGTGTTTACATAATATATGTGTGTGTTGTGTACTGTGTATATCTATTATGTATATATACATATTTATATGTGCAAATTTAAAATAATAAAATTATATATATATATATATATATATATATATATATGCAATTTATATTATATATATAAATATAACTTATTTTTCTTAAATATACACTTAAATATATGCATGTGTGTGTATTTATATATCCACCTTATACTTCAACGCGGAAGTAAGCCTATAGGCAAGACTTCCGGTTCATTAGCCGCTATAGGGAAATAACGAGAAGAATAACAATGTGCAGTAAACAGTAAAACTGTTTGCACTACAAACCAGTGTGTTCATAATTAAGATAATACATGAAAATAATATGGCAAGACACACCAATTTGCAATATCAAGCAGCAAAACGAGCTGTTTTGCACAGCCAAAATTAGCTGGACGTGGATGAGACCCATAAAATTTACAAATGGCAGCGCCCGCACTTACGGGAAAAATAAAGTGGATACATAATAAATATACACATTACACAAACATATATTATGTAAACACAAACTTTAATTTTGGACATGATTAATCGTTTAATATCCCTAATTGTATTAAATTACATTACATTTGATTATTTTATATTGCACATATTTTCATATGTATTCTCATACCTGCTCTGTAGTGGTCAGGATTTGTGTAGCCGTGAGGTTCTGTTGATGCTGCTGTTGTAGTGCAGCCGTCTGCAGCAGGATATGCTGTTGTTGGGCAGCATACATCTGTTGTAGGTACTGAGCTGTCATGCTCTGTGGTCTGTGTAGCGTCTGCTGGATTACCTAGCAAAACACCACATCATAGGCTTCACACGCCACTGGAAGAGATCAACTTTTTGCCAAAGTTTTTTACTCAAAACCACAACAAAGACATGGCATCTGAATATTAGGTCAGCCTCAAAGCAATGTTCAGAATTTGGCTACAGTGCATTAAAAGGCTGTTGCTATTCTTTCTCAGTGTTAAATAAAACAAGATACATTAACACTGTGTAATATCATTTGTTACTGGTTGATACCGGTGGGGAATTACCTGGACCGCCTGCCTGTCTGAAGTGATGTTTCCCAGAGGAATGCCGCTGGGCTGAGTGCCTGTGGGAGTGTTGGATCTGGGTGTAGAGCTCACTGGCGTGGCACTGGTGGTGGGTGCAGTGCTGCTGGAGGCTGTGTGGAGTGCTGCTGTCACACAGCCATCATCCTCCATCTCTTCCTGATTCTGTTTATCTGTGTCGCCTGTCAGAGTGGTTTGTTAGCCACTATAATTTTGGACAAATATTAAAAAAATACAGAAAGATTTATTTTTTTAATTAGAGAATATCCTGTATTCTGTAATCCACTTCTGTTCAACTGCATGATTTGCTGGTTATTGGTTGATTTAGCTGACTGAGTCTGATTTAATTAGAATTAGAATTTGATTTGGAAGTTGACTTAATTAGATTTTTTTTACAACATATATATTGGCATATTTGAGAACAATGAAACAATTGATCCTATGTTACTTTTTTAAAAAGTAAAGTGAAAAGTCTATTACTATTATTATATTAGCCTATTACTAAAGGTAAATGTTTACACATATATTTATAGAAATTAGTTCAGACAGTTACAGTTACCAAATAGAAACTAACTTTAGTATTTTAAATATACGATTAAATGCTCTAAAATGTACATAAATATACTAGGGTAAAACGGTTTTTAATTATATAATGAAATGCACTTAAGGTTATACAGACAGTACGTAGATTATCAGTCATACAGATTAAAAAAACAATAACATGTAGCCTATACTGCATGTAATAAGTATGAATGTATGAATTATGTATGAATGTATGACAAATGTATGAATTAATGTGAATTCTGAGTGTGATATGTTTTTACTTTAATTAGGTCCATCCCATATCATAACCTGAGATCAAATGTTAACCCATATCAATCAGGACCACTGAAAGCAGGTCATTCACAAATGCATTCACAAATGCTACAGTATTGCTTAAAGGGTCCCCAATACAAACAAACATAAACATAACACCAACAAATATTATGGAAAGTAATGTGATTAGCACACTACAATATTAGTGCTTCAACATATATGGCCTTTCAGAATCACATTTGACATTACCTTGAAAATTCACAAGTTTACAAAATTCCCAAGTCATAAAATATCATTAAAAAGTACCTATAATTAAAATAAATTGTATTATTAAAATGTACAGTTTAACTTACAAATAGATGTAATAATTATTTATACAACTTCATACATTCATTTTTTTCATTTGATTGAATTATTGCACATTTTAATTTAATAAATGATATGTTTACAATATCAGTTTAATCGATAAAACAGTTATGAAAAATAGCATAGGGTATTTGCAGTTTTACATCTGCATTTAATACAATTTAAAAGCAATGAATTATAGAATGTATATTTTATTTTAAACCTGACGTTTCAAAGTCAGCATATTAATTGGCCGATTTCTGTGCGCAAATGTCGCTTCTTTTCTGGACCTGCACTTTTACGTGATTAGTAGCCTATTCAAACTGTTTAATTAATTTTTAAATGTCGAATTACAGTATTTGTACAGTACACTCTATGTCATACTGTTACAATATTTTTGGGGGAAATGGCTAATTATAATAAATGAAAATATCGAAACAGTGAAGTGGTTTATGCATATTGTGCAACCACACGCTCTGTTTTGCCACAAACGTTCGATCTTTAAAAATGAGTGATTTTTTATAGTGTTTAATATTAGTTTATGCTATACTGTATTTTTTTATCCAGACAAACTATCCAGAATATGACCTAGCCGATAAAGAATATCATATTACATAAATATTTCAGAGATATTTAGTAATTCTAAACTTTTTCCATCCCTAAAGGTCATTCAGTAAAATGTTTAAATCTCCTTATGGACTACAATAAATCAGTAAAATAAATTCTTTACAATGTAGCCTATTGAACGAAGCAGATCAACGGCAAATTTTAAATGGGCTAAAGAAAATATAAAAAGCCTATATTATCATTTACCAAACCAGACCTCTCTCGCCTCTCGGTGTCGTGAACTTATTACAGTCGATTGCAAATTGAATGTGTGTAATCCGTTTAAAGGCAAAGGTAAGCTTTAAAGAAAGTATTTGATAATGTTATAAGATAGGCTATAGCCTTAAATATTGAAATATAGCTTATCTTATTAAATATAGCCTAGGTAAGACGCATAGCTTAGGCTTTTGTTGAAAAAAATAAAAATAAAATCTGTTTTCTACTTACATAATGAGACATTCAAAGAATTTGACTCGGTTTGAACTCGCGTGTTATGGGTAATTAAATCAACTAAACATTTTTACAGAAGGATATACGGCATTTTAAATTTAGGCAACCGCCTAATTATTAATAATTAGAAATACTTATAAAACAGACTGGCGTCGCTTACGAAGTGCGTTGTAGAATATTTCGACAGGCCGAATGTCTGCCTCAGTCATCTGTCTACTCAGTCCTAACTCCTTCTAACTTTCAGTCGAGCCCACCATGACATTCTTATTGTGGGACACTGAGATTTGTTTTAACAAACGATTTGACGTGAATCAGAAAATCAATTGAAATTGAAAAATCAATTTTGAAATATATATATTTTTTATTAAGACTTTATGTCTCCGTCATTGGGGAATCATGCGACATGAGGCTTTTCTCCCATGCAATGTAGAAGGCGCATCAGCTGATGAGTGTTACCTGCCTGATATGGATATGAGACGTGAGCGCGCGCTGCTGTGCTCTGTCACGTCCTCAGGCTCAGTCATGTTGTACTGCGACAGCGCGCTCGAAAATGGAGATAAAAACAAAACGCTCCTGAGGCTGAGACATTTCTGAGCCGGCAGCACCACTTGCTGTGTAGGAGGACTTCGTGCAGCGTTGCTCTCCATGTGATTTTTCACCACTGCCCCTCTTTTGCTATCAGGGCCTAATAAAGACCCTAATTGTGTTGCATTTTTAGTTTAATTTTTTATTCAGTCGTTAAAAACTGCTAATTGTAGTTACATGTATTGAAATAGTTTGACGTCTACAGGATTTTAGGCTACTTGTTAATCTATAGCCTATGTCTTCTATTTGTCTTTATCCAGAATGTAGAAAACACACACATCTTAAATCGTGCAGAATGCAGAATCTGAACTTCAGCTTCAAATGCCAGTGTTAAAGTCAGTGTTATTTTGAGAGTTATGCATTGCAAATATTTTGGTGAATGTTCTTTAAACTTACGAAAAAGTATTCATGATGGCTGTTTGTGTAATTTCCAAAACCTAATTTGCATTAGTAAACATTTTTAAACATTATTAAAAGGTCATTAATGTTGTTTATGTATGATTTCTGATGATTTTCTATACGTTGTGTTAGACAGGCTATCATTAACGTACTGTGAACTACAATCATATAGGCTACTTAAATTTCATCAGTTACAGTAAATAAATGAGCCATTCACTTTTGATAAATGGGATGATTTATGAAATATCTACACTGTAAAAAAAATTCCGTAAAATTTACGGTAAAATAACGGCAGCTGTGGTTGCCGAAAATTTAATGTAAAAAATACGGTAGCAACGTTTTAGGTTTTTCACGGTTATAACTTAATTTTACAGTTAAATACCGTAATTTCATTAACTGATATAATGTTAATATACCAACCTATTGAAGTACTGAAATCTGTTTTGTACCTTTGTAATACACTGATACTCACCAAATGCAGATGGTGATGAGAAAGTTACATGATGAATCAAAGCCCATCACAAGCAGCTTTAAATTATTAACATATATAGAAGGTGCACAGTGTCATTCACACAAACACTAAACACCATCATGGTAACACACATGAAACTGAAATAATGCAATAAACATTCATTTAACAACATTAGGTGTAACACACAACCCTAATATACAAAACTGATAAGAAAAAACTAAGAAGAAACATAGTTATTTCAACATAAAAACATCCAATTTGAAATGTAACGCATGGAATTCTGGGAATGTCAATTTACGGTTATTCACTGTAAATTATACGGTATTTTTCACTTCCAAAAACGGTATACTACCGT